GGTGTTACACGGTGTTACACGTTGTTGTCATGTGAATCTGAGGATCATTTGCGGAAGATATCCCGTTTCCCGTCTCTTAACAGGCCGACCAAACTGAAATTCTACCTTTACCAGTTTACCACTATTATCAGTGGAGAGCTAACCAATAGGGAAATGACAAAAACAGTCATAAGCTATTACGCCTGTTTTCGGGTAACATTGAATTGTTCCATGTATTATTAAAAGAGTATTTCTTGACTTTCCTCACTTTGAACATATCCATTTTAAAAGACCGCATTCAGCCAGTTTTGATTCTATGGCTATCGTTGATATAAGATAAACTAGAAATATGCCAATCATTTAAATCTGTCTAAAAAGTACGGCTGTACCTCAAGCAATCCATGATGTTGATGTCGAATCCGCTTGAGTATCCCATCATACACTGAAGGCACAATCTAAGATCACATGTCCTGAAGCATGATGTGTTCGAAAATATGGCGGGGTTGTCTTCCAAGGTAAGACATTTTGGCGTTGTTCTGTTTTTATTTGCAATTCTGTGGCTTGTCGTTATATTATCATAAGTAAAACTTATTTCATGCAAGTGGAAGAAAATGTTTTTAAAAGGTGAATTTGAACACATGGCAATAACATAACTTTTCACAAGGGCTTCTATGCCACGTTTTCAGTACGTGGAATCGAGTGTCGAAAGTAATCAGGCAATTACTCTGGTTTTGGTTTTGGTTTAACTACGGTTTGAGATTGGGCTGCTAGTTTAATTGGTTTAGAAGTAATTGGTTTGGTTTTAGTTTTACGACACTCAATTGAAAACCACTCTACCACTCTACCACTCTGGTCTTCATAACAAATAGTGTCCAAGAGCAAATAGCTGTGCATATTTTTGAACCCAGTTGGAAGCTAAATTCTAGGGCTCATTAACATTTTCAGCAGGAGGGTGACTGGTTTCCACAGGTGTACAAAACGTTTTGAACTGTGTTTCTCTGTAAGAAAAACTCTATCCCAGATGGCCAAACCAGACTGTCAATCTGCCTTGGTGCCTGGCCCTTAATGAAACTCCCTGTCAATTGTTGATGTCATCAAATTATTACATATCCCTGAATGCAAGTCCAGTGATAATATTATTATATGGCTAGCTCCTTGGCCAGACAAGATTACTGTTAACACCGCTGGATAAGCCGCACCTTTTTACTCAAAATTTACCTTAAGAATTGGGCATGCGGCTTATCTGCAAGAACCTCTGGACAACATGCCATAAATTTGCATAAATTAACACTTTCTATCGAAAATTTATAAGTCAGTTAAGAAAATTAGTAAGAACTTCAGTAGACAAACAATATCAGAGTATGCATCAATCATTGCTATTACAAGTTTGATGGCTCCTAAAAGAATTGTTTTTGTTCATAATCACAAGCTTACATTTCTTGCTGTTAAACAGCCCTAAACCTTTGTTAAAAAATCTTTTAGCCAGTGTAAGGCCGCAATTCTAGCTCATTCTAGAGCAGCTTTAGAAACTTGCATCGCACAGCAGGGAATCTCCATTCCGCCACAAAGCTGCTCAAAGAAAGCTTCAAAGGCTATTTGTGTCCAGTACTCCATCTCCTGATGAAATGCCTGGCTACTGTGTTATGAATGACCAAACGAATGAATGGAAGTGTTGTTGTTGTTGTATGTTAATTCTATTGAAAAATTGACAGGAATGAAAAAAGAATCCCAGTTGAAAAATACTGGAGAAAAATGAAACATATGTCAAAACTGGTAGACATCATGTCAGTGCTATTGTAGAACTAAAATTTTAGGTAAGGGTTTTAGTTTGAAGCATTCTCTGTACTCAGTGTTATTGAGTTTACACCGGTTTACATTCATTACATGTAAATCAAGAAAAGTACACGAANGTGTGTGTGTGTGTGTGTGTGTGTGAATTTCCTGATCATCACCCCGCAGAATTTGGACCAATTTAAGATTGACGAGACTATCTCGTGATTTAAGAACTTATTTCAGAAGTCACTGACTTGTTTCAGGACTAACAAACTCTAGGTAAGAACCACCTTCTGTATCAAAATAAACAACACCGATCAAAAGCTTAATTTTGAAATGATCACAACAATATTGCCATTTAGGAAACGCAAACTTAGAAACACTCAAATTACGCCAATAAAACAATGAGGTGATTTAAGAGTGAATTCGTAAGTACACACTGAAGAGTTATCTTTTGAAAACCTCTCTATATACGCTATCTTGTACAGCTGGCTGAAACAGAACAAGCATTATTATAACAATGGACTAATTTAAGGTGTTCGACCCTCCCTTCAAACCCAAGGTTAAGAACACATTAAAGTACACACTGAAGAGTTATCTTTTGATAAACTCTGCGTCATTTTGCCCAACTGATTGGAGCACGACAAGTTTGAATACAACAATGGACTAAATTAAGATGTTCGACCCTCTCTCCAAACTCAAGGTTAAGAACACATTGTACAGCTTTGTAAACAATACAGCATGGAAGTACTTAAGGAAAGTGCTTACATCCAGGTTTACTTTCTCTACAAACTCCGAAGCTAAAAACACATTGCTCAGAAGATGGACAGAACAGAAAAAAATTAGACAAGGTCCTGCTTACCAGGATAGACATTGTCACGAAAGTCATCTCTTCAAACCCAAGGTTAAGAACACATTAAAGTACACACTGAAGAGTTATCTTTTGATGAAGTCTGCATCATTTCGCACAACTGATTGGAGCAGGACAAGTTTGAATACAACAGTGGACTAAATTAAGATGTTCGACTCTCTCCAAACTCAAGAACACATTGCACCTGACAGCTTTATAAACAATACAGCATGGAAGTACTTAAGGAAAGTGCTCACATCCAGGTTTACTTTCTATACGAACTCCGAAGCTAAAAACATTGCTCAGAAGATGGACAGAACAGAAAAAAATTAGACAAGGTCCTGCGTAGCAGAATAAACATTGTCACGAAAGTGTCTTAAAATAGCGTTCATCTGGATATCTACGTGTAAGGTTTTTCACCCACAAACACAGAGTTAGAAACATATTGCACAGAAAGTAAATAACACAACGAGGTCCTTCTCGTGTAATGACGTATTAGAAGCTTTTATTTTAAGTTCACGGTTAGGTTTTCTTTTCCAATAAACCCAAAGTTAAAACTGAACATATTGCACAGTAGAATGAACGTTCTTATCTCGGATTCTTTCTCTACAAACTTCAAAGTGCTCGCCCCCTCGAGCCTTTACGTTGTAAACACTGAGCGAGGGTAAATCATGGTTAATATTTTTAGTGATTCAAAAGCACATTGCAAATAGACCAAAAGAAAGGTAAAACAAAAAGATAATGCAAAAGACAGAAGTCAAGAACATCAGGACCTTGTGCTGATTTGAGATACCTAATGGTTCTACAGAAAATACCTGTGGATGTTAAAAACTTTTCGAAGTTTCAGTTTTAAAGCCCTGTAGGGCTTAACAATTTTCCATTTGCATTACAGTGTAATCCAACGTGAAACTGCAAAATTTCCCGAAAATGCCTCACATACATGTTCGATTATACTGTCATGCAAATGACAAAATTTTATCCGTAAAAAGGGCTATTTATTAGCGTCAGTGAGGCGATCATGCGATTAGCTGTCACACTGCTAGCAGTCTGTTTTTTCCTCGAAAACAGGGAGGGATGTGATTGAAAGGCGAGATGGGATTGCCCTCGTTATCTTGCCTGGGAGACATAATCGATTCGTGTGGACGGTCTGCTAAAATCAACAGCACGTGTGGAAACAGTCGATCACGTGACACTTTCGAGAAACACCTGAAAGATATCCCGATTCCAGTCCCTTAACAGGCCACCCAAAAATGCCAGCCTTACCACCATTATGAAAAGCAAATTAGTGGGAAAATGTCCAGAAAAAAGTTATAAGAAGCCCAAGGTATATTGTGTAGGTTCTCGGTTAGCAAAGTATTTCTTGAATTTTCTGTCTTTTGAACATACTAGTATCCAATTCAGCCAGCTTTGATTTTGTGACTATCTTCGCATAAATATTCCGTTGATTGAAGATAAACTCAAAAAGCTATCTTGATAGAGTGGAGGTTAGGAGATCTGTCTTAAAAGGTCTAAAAAGCAATGACATCTTTGATGTCACATCCGGTTGAGTATGCCATCATACCTAAGGCACAATCTAAGATCACGTGCCCAGAGGCATGATGTCTTTGAAAATATGGCGGGTGTTTCTTGGAAGGTAAGACATTTTGGCGTTTTTCTGTTTTTATTTGCTCTTCTGTGGTTTTTTATTATATTATCATAAGAAAAATTTACTCCTTCGAATCGAAAAGTAACTTGCAGAAGTTAATGCGAGAGGAACGAACGTTATTAGGAGGTGAATTTGAACACATGGCAATAACATTAATAGGTCTACGCTCCCGGGTCTACGCTACTAAATCACTAGGTTGGTCTTCATAAGAAATAGTGTTCAAAAGCAGTTAGCTGTGTATAGTTTTGAACCTATTTTTGAACCCAGTTGGAAGCTAGATTGTCGAGTTTTCATTAATATTTTCAGCAACAGGATGACCGGTTTCCACAAGAGGGCAAAACTTCTTGAACTGAACTTCTTTATAAGAAAAACTTTCCTCTAGATGGTCAAACCAGGCCAAACCTTTTTGGGTAGTTGTTGCCATCTGGTGATATAAACAAAGTTTGCCCTGTTCTGTTGTTGTGCCATTCATCTCAAGACTGCAGCCTCTTGTTTCGTATTTGCAGTTTTTCCAGTGCTTACAAGGCTTGAATGCTTTTAAAACATTTCCTTTTTCTTACCAGATAGAAAACAGAGAAGCAACAATAAAGGCTATGTGCTGAGAATTATAGGGAAAGAAATTCACTTTGTAATATTAGAATCCCATATAAGGTGAGTCAAGATTTCTTTTTGTTTGGTTGGACTGGTTATTAATAAATATTACTTTTGCTACCTGTATTAGGAATAATAACACACAATGCTGGCAAAATGAAGTGAGCAGGAAAGTGGTTGTTTTAATGTTGTTCAGCTATTTCAAGAATCGTTTGTTACAGGTATGTGACAACATAACCTAGCTGTGCCTGGGGCACTGTTGTTGATAAGGGAGGGAGGAACCAATTTCTTTCCACTGTATGTATTAGTACTTCCTTAACCATTTATCTTCGTGCCTAGCCTAATGGCTTAATGGTTTGTGAACTGGACTGCACATCAAGCAGTCTTTGGTTTGTTCTTGGGCAAGAAACTTCACTCTCACAGTACTTCTCACCACCCAGGTGTACAATTATTGGTACTTGAAGAATTCAATGCTGGCAGCTGACCCTGCAACAGAGAGGCATTCCACCTAGGGGATAGGGGGAAAGAAGAAAATTAGTATTTAATACTTTTTACCAGTTACTGCTTAGAAACCCAGCTTAAGAGGCAGTGTTTTTGATCTCTTGGTCTGACATTTCTTTTAAGAGAAAAATTTCCACTTTTTTAAAGAAATTTTGAGAATATTTTTAATTGCATAGAGTGTAAAACTTTAAAGGTTAAGGCTGTCTTAAAGGTTAAAAAAATTTCCTATTTCCTACTAGATACAAAACGGAGAAGCAACAATGAAAGTATGCGCTGAGGCTGAGTAGAAAAAATCACAATGAAACATTGGATTCCATATTAAGTGAGTCACGATTTCTTTGTGTTTGGTGTCATGTACTGAGTATGACAGTGCACAGTGCAGGTGAAAAATTTTAAACAAATGGAGATGTTGTAGCTGTTTCACTGTTCAGCTATTTCAAGAAACTGTTTTGGGGCCATACTACACCTTAGCCCTTCAGGGGAAGGGTGTAGGGGAACCATTGTTGATGGGTATTCCTTTGTCTGAGGAGGGACACAATAATCAAATGTTAAGTACATACTAGACTGCAGATCAAGATGCCTAGGTCTCTGCATTGTGTTCTTGGGCAAGTCACTTTACTCTCACACTACCTCTCTCCACTGAGGTGTACAAACGGGTACTGGGTAAGTTAAATACTGGGTGCAAACCCAGCGACAGACTTGCATTCCATCCCATCCCATCTTTTTCAAACCTTGTAGGGTTGAAATTCTTAAAAATTTGATGATTCTTTTTTTTTTGTTGTGTGGTTCTGTAAAGTAGACAGACTTGCATCCCATCCACAGGGGAGCAGAACTACTTAAAATCACTTAAATGTGACAGAGACTGGGTTAAGCTGTGGTGGTTTAGAGAACTTGGCCTGATGCAGACTTTACCTTGCCTTCCTAGTCCAAACTCCCCATATATAGTAGGGTTAAAACTTTGAAAACCTGATGACTTATTTTAAATTGTGTAGTTTGTAAATCTTACGAGATCAATGCTGTCATAAAGGTTAAAACAGTTCCCATTTCTTACTAGATACAAACCAGAAAGCTGTGAGCTAAGAC